ATATCAGATCGTGCGATGACTTGTTTTGGACGTGCGCGTAACCCCGTGGAGCAAGGTATTATATGGATAGGTGGTGCCAATCGACCACGTGATACTCGATTTGAACGTTTAGTCATACGCAATTATTCACTTGTAACTGATATAACATTAGAGCATTTAGTGCAGTGTTCACCATTTTTGATACACATCGATGTGAGTGGTACAAGTGTTACCATTGCAGGCGTGCGCCGTTTCAAACAATTGAAACCAGATTGTGAAGTAGTTGCAACTCATTTGCCTGAATCATCTGAAGACAATGACACTGACAAGAATGCTACTTAAGGATTCGCAAATCACATGTTCCTGTTGCATTTACAAAAACTTAAGTGCTTTTGTGGTTAAAATAGAAGTAATTACAATATGTTTAATTAAATTTTCGAGTTGTGTACTTTTTATATTGATAATATGTTTAAGGCTGTTACAATAAGAAAATGAAATTGTATGTCTACAAGCAGACTTCAAGTATAGAAATAGAATAGTCTGGAAAGACTTCTCTCATTGTTTTTAACTCGTATGTATTTTTTAAGTTAAGTTACACTTGCAAAATGAAATATTAAGTTGATTAATCATTTTTAAAATAAAAAAAAATTAGTACATAACATTACTTAAAAATTGCATATTTAATCAAATTTTAGGCAATATTTTTTAAATAAAGCATGTATAGAAAGGTTTCGAACAGTATTGAATTGCAACAACAAAATTTTTTATTTATTCGAACGTACAAGTTCAGCACGGCTTTGTGTAAGTTGGTGAATGAACACTAACTCTGAGCTTCAACTTTGGCGGGGTAAGAGTTGAACTCTTGGTATTTACAGTCTTAAAAAATTAATTACGAATAATAAAATATGAGAAACAACTCCAAGACTCAATACAAGATGATGGGTATTTGACAGTATTCGAAGTAGTTGTATGGTCAGTCGTAAATCCAATTAATTAAAAATAACTTGGAGTTTGCTTTTTGTTTTTGACTAAGGTCTATAGGAAAAAAATTAACAATTCCGGAAGTATTTACTAGAATTTTTTCGATAAAATGTTGACCACTTCATAGGGATGTATTGAAATAATCCCAAATAATCCACAAAATTATACTAACTGCACTCACACTATTATGGTTAATTATATTATCTGGTAAAGTTTTTATTCTATTTATATAGGACAGAGAACTAACTACCAACCAACGCAAACAATTGCTGTTGCGTTGCTTAAATTGTACCGAGATACTTCTGAAGAGGCATAGATCATTGATATTCTTCATTTACAGATAATAACATTTTATCATAGACTGTTATTTATATATACACATATGTATATATATACACATTTTTATAATTCACAGGTTTTCTCGATTAGGGACTAAAACTTCTTTGACTACGTGTCTGGCTTAGGGGCACCACTTTGCCCATTGATTAATAAGTTCTCACAAATCTGAAACTGTTTTCGTAGATATATTGAACTAGTCCTTGGAACCGTTGGGAACCGTTTTTTTGAGATTAACAAAAATCTGCGGAAAAGAATACAATAATAATAATAATAGTTAGTAATAATAATAATAGTTAGTAAGAATAATTATAGTTTGTAATAATAATAATAGTTAGTAATAATAATAATAGTTAGTAAAAATAATAATAGTAATAATAAGTACCAAAAACCATTTTTTACCGAAGAAATAAAACAAGTGCAATCGACACCTTTGCCATACTTTTTTTTCTAAATTTTCTTCATATGCTAAAGTAGTATTTAGTGGACCCATTTATTGATATGCATATGTCCAACAGATGGCGCTAAAATCGATAAAAGGAAGTTCAAGACTTTTCATGGAAAGCATGTGAATTAGCTTCGATAACCATTTATTGATTTTTATTTTTCCAACAGTTAGCTCTGTGTAGGGAATCTATTCGCTGAAATTTAGGGTTTTGTGTGTGCGGAAATATATTTTTGAAAAATGGCACATCATGACCACTGCATCATATTATCTCTTCCTGTTCTATAATGGCACCAAGGGAACACCTAAATAGGTGTAATGTTTTCTGTAAGGTAATCCATCAAAACCTTGCACCGAAACACGGGCTGAATATCCGATTTACTGTTACACATTTAATGCTGTGGTAGAAAACACCAATTTTCATATTTACTTGGATCGACAAATTTATACAGATTATTCAGTAACAAACAATAAACCTAATATTCTAATGGTTGATAGTTGGAATCATTCAGTATACCCGATTATTGTAATTATTTCACATACTGGGAAGATTGAACAAAAGCCTGCGGAAAAAATGAACCATTACATACAACTGGTTGGGAAAATCAAAATAATTTAGAGACTTAAGTAAATGCTTGTTGTGCCAGTAATACTGTCAGGCACTGGAATAAAACCTAAAATTCATAAAAAATCAAAATGTCACATTAGAACTCCACAAATAGCTGTTAATCATTAATAATATCAGCTGAATAATCAGTGGACACACTCGAACTTTCCGAACAGTTAATAACCAGTAACAATATTACTTACTGGAATAGTACCAAGAATCCTTAAGTAATGAAGGTACAGTGGAACTCTCCGAACAATTAATAAACAGTAATAATCAATGGTAACACTAATAATCAATAACCACTAACAGTATCAACCACTGGAATAATACTTAAGATTTTTAAATAATTAATAGACATACTGGAATTCTTCGAATAAATAATAAACCCCAATAATATCAATCGTTGCAATATTGCTTAAAATTCTTAAATAACAATAGACACTAGAATTTTCCAAATAATTAATAAGCCCCAATAATATCAGTCATTGGAATAGTACTTAAAATCTTTAATTAATAATGAATATACTGGAACTCTGCGAACAATTAATAATTCCCTATAATATCAATCACTGGAATAGTACTTAAAATCCTTAAATAATCAATGGACATATTGGAATTTTCCGAATAACTAATAATCTCCAATAATATCAGTTACTGGAATAGTACCCAAAATCCGTATAGCCAATGAAGAATGCAGAAAAACGATTCACTGTATATATCTGTACAATGTTAAGGAAAACCATCAGCGATCTTTAGTAGGACCGATAGTAATATAGGTGTGAACATGGACTATACCTTAACGTGAGTAGATATTCCCTACTGACTGCTAAACGGAATTATGTGAATCCCAGTACTGAGACCTATTGAGATGTAATATTTATTGTGATTATAACAATATACTTGTAAAGTATGAATAAAATATGACCATTCAGTGAGTCCTTTTTCTGTCAAGTTAAAAATGCAATAAGTCATTTTAATCCGCAAAGGGAATTTATTAAGTCCAATAATTCATCACAGATTAATTCGGGGACAAACAAATTAATATCAATTCAATGTTGAATCTTCGATTTTCGCTTTTGAGATTTAAGCAAGCAAACGTTCATGTATTTTTAATTTGTTTAATTCAAAAATATTTGCCTGTCGTCCATGTCCTGTGTGTGCGGCGCTTGTTTATGTCCTTCGCAGTGAATTACGAATTGGAATTGGCGCGGGGCTGTTGTGGAGGGACGCTGATTTTTGAACCTGCCGCTGCTTAAGATGCAAGTGACGTTTCGCTATAATTTTCCAGTTTTTCGAGCAACTCAACCAAGTGTTACGATTTTTTGTCTCTGTTGTTTTTTGCGATGCTAAACGGTTGTTGACCGTTATTAAAACCGTAATTTTGCATATAATTTTGTTGTACAAAAACATAAAACAGAAAAAAAAACTAAAAACAAAAAACAAAAATGGTGGAAAAATCGTAATAAAATGCCTTCGCTCATTGGGTGTCGGTAGTAAAAAATTAAATTCCAAACACGCGTTGATAATATTTTTTCAAGCGATTTTTAACGCGTCTTCAGTTTTCTTTATGTGCGTTTTCCTTTAGTTCTGCGTTTTTTTTTTTTTAATTTTTATTTTCATTCTAAAGTGGTTCGGGAAAGCGCGTTGGTTTGTGAAAAAGAGCATTTTAACATAATTAAACGCTGAAAGCGCAGTCTTCGGAGTGGAGTGGAGTAGTGGAGCTGGCAAACTAATTACGAGGTTGAGTGTAATTAATCCCAAGTGTACAATACAAATGGAAGGGACATAGTGAACTCTCCTGAATCACACTTCCACCTCCAAAGCCAGTTTTTTCGGTAATTATTATTGTAAAATAAATGGAAAAATAAAAAATAAAAAGAAATGTGTTTTCTTTGCACTAATTGACAAACGTTTATTGTTTACTAATTGCGAAATGCTCATTACGATTTGATGTTCAACAGATACTTTTGGGTCAGAGTACAAATCAAAAATTTAATGATGCAAAGTTTCTTTCTTCTTCTTCTTCTCTCTCATAAAAGCCTTTAAACTGAACTTATCAGTAATTTTCTGATTTCTCGGTATCTCAATATCAGTTAAATATTATAGAATATTTTCCAATGCATTTAGAAAATAACGCCAACATGCAATAAAATGCCGGAATGTCACAAAAGTCAACAATAAGTCACGGAAAGCCACACTTGGAGACGAGGTCTTGACAAAAACTAAAATTAAATTATGATTGGGAATATGAAAAAGTATGGAAGAGCGAAAAAGTGTAAGCAAATTTACCCAAGCGGAAATGAAAGTTTTTTACGTTTCCTGTGTGTATTAATGAAATCATGTATATGTGTGTGTGAGTGTGTGTGTGTCTCAGTATGGGCGCGTCTATGTAACTCACATGTTTTATGTGTGGCAACACATATTTGAAAATTTGTTGTTACTTGTTACAGTGGTCCAATAATCGAATTATAGCCTTAAGAATTTTATATAGATTGAATCTATATAGATTCATTATTCTATATAGTTAGGATCTCGAATACTACCCTGGTTTTCTCTGAAATCCTCAAAAACATAGAAAACATGGATCAATAATATACGAAATCTTGCAATGATATGACACTTTGATATTGTATGAATTGCTACAGAATACAAAAGCAAATAAAGAATAGAGGAAAGCCACCAACGATACAACACATCGGTACTATAAGAATACAGAAACAGATAAAGAAAACAGAAAGCCACCAACGATACAACCTGGTGTGTTATATTGTATGGATTGCTAAAGGATGCAGACAAAATAGATCAATAATACAGAAAAGCTTTTTTTTTGGCGGTAAGTGGACAGCTATAGTGTGGGACTTCAAGTCAATAAAACCACCTCTTAGGAATGAATGAAGATTCATTTCATAAATTGAGAAACAGTGTCTTAGTACTTAGAATTCTAGGTTTATTTAAGCTAAAAAGTATGGG